CCTGCTGTGTGTAGAGTTCTTCCTTTAAGGAACAAGAAGACTTTTTCGATATTTTGTCAATCTTCAAGTACTCTAGAAATTGGACATCATTAGGGTATGTCATATAATCTTGCTTCTTTAACTAACCGGGGTTTAGGTTCAAGGAGACAGAGAAGAATGGTTCTGGTTTATAGTCAGACTTGTGGGGAAAGCCAATGGGAAGGGGTGGTGCAAGGTTCAATGTTTCCAGAAATCAAGGCAATTTGAGGGCTTCATAGTATTTTTCTACTCTAAGTATTTATAACCAAGTGTTTCGGAACCCTTGTGCAAGGCCTGGTTCATGTGCCTCTCAGAGATATTACCCTCAACTTCTTAGCTCCACTTTTGGGGAACACTCTCTGCAGAGATCACCTGAGACTGCCTGGTCTGGGTTTGAGACAAAAGCTCCCAAGAGTTGAGCAGGTAACTCTGCCCCTCATTTCCAACCTGTTCTTCCATATCAAGGCCTCACCAGTTGCAAGTTTCCATGGAAGTAGGGTTAGGGCATTGGTTACAGTAGGTGGTCTTGTCCATCTCTGGGTCTGCTCAGGCTTGAGGTGGGCAGAGGTTGGAATTCCCTTGTGGCTGGCGACATTGTCTTCCATGACCTCTGCTACCATCCTCATGTACGAAGGTGACTTTTTCTATTCTATGGTGGAGATAGGATCACTTAGGTGATACTGGACGAAGGATAAACACTGGCTATCAAACTAATGATGGGGCTAAGGGCATTATCTTGTCTTGTCCCAGGCTTTTCACTCCTACATTAATCCAATTACAAAGTATTGGTAATCCATCTCCATTGATTCCTTGGGAATCTAGATTGAAAAGGTACTTTTGCTTGTTTTACGTTAGAAAGTTTTATGAAGCTGGGGTCATTTAAAAGTAAAATGTCAATTTCTGGTGCATAGTAAGTACTCAGTATGTACAGGAAGAATGAATGAATCAACAAATACGCATACCTTCCCCTTAGTATTAGGATAGACTATAATATGTCCTTTACAGCCCATCTATTCAATTAGGCCCTTTAAAAATATATACATCACTATCCCAGCAGTGTTAATAACACATGTTGCTTAGTGTGAGTGGGCAGACAGCTTCATTTCCCAGTTAGTCACAGAAGCCCTTTTTATGTCTGCTTAATCCCCCCAAAACCAAATCCTTAATGGGATGAGTTTGTAGAACATGAAGACCATGCCCTGTTCCCAATGAGCTCGTAACTCAAATTACTCGTATGTCAAATCATAAAGTGAACGAGTGAGACACATGATGCTGGGCTGATGTTGTGGCGTTCACTGTGACGTTCGCTGCGCCAACTAGCAATGGGGTATCTGAAGCTGGCTCATAACCCGAATTTTAGCTTGCAACTCAAAGCAAAAAATCGGCCGAGAGACTGCTCGTATCTCGAAAAACTCGTTAGTTGGGACACACGTAAGTCAAGGCCCCACTGTATTACCCTCTGATACACAGAGCAGGGGGGAGGAGTGGGGAGAGTAGAGTTACTGGCTCCTTCCCCTAATATTAATTGTGTTTCAGACAAAGAGAAAGTTAATTTCAGGGTGCTAGACTATGGAGATTTATCATACATACACAAACCACTTTGCTATACATTATTCCATTTGACCTTCAAAACGACCTTGTGATTGAGCTAGGATCCTGCTTTAGACATAGGGAGATGGGTTCACCCGGGCTCTGTGATCAGCCCATGGTACCAGGGACAGGGGCAGAGTGGAACTCAGGGCAGCATATTTGACCCCAGGTGCGGCAGGACTGGTTTGTCCTCTGCCAGGAGGGTGGCAGGGGGAGTATGTCCTTCAGAAGATGCACAGACAGCACCAGGGCCTACATTCCACACAACACTGGCTCACAGCTGGCCTTAGGTTTTTCCTCCAGTTGGCCCTGTCACATCAATCCCTATCCCCGGTAGATTTGTGGTACAGGGAAGAGGTGGGTGGGTGGAAGGATGAAAGTTGGGGGGTCACCAAGGAAGGTCTTTCCGTATCTTTCTGACTAATGGTGAGAGGTGGCAAAAACATGGCAGAGAATGAGTGTGAAAGCTGTGTCAACTCTACTATGCCACGTGAGCACACACTCAAAGACTTCATTCTCCCCAAGGGGTTGACTTGTTCCAGATATTGGTTTGATGACTTCCCTTCCCTTGAAGCTGATGGGGTTTGCCTACCCTCCAGCATGCTGTTGAGTGTCTCTGTGTGATGGGGAATCCTTTGCTGAAAGTTTTGTCCCCATGACAGCCCTTTGAAACTTCTGATAGCCAACCAAAGAGGAATGATTCATGAAAGTGGTCATTGTTCCCACTGAATGTGATAGAAAACCTTTGTGCAAGCCCAAACCAGAATTCATGTCGCTTCACGGCTTTGAGACCTGCACTGTGAAGGCAGAGTCAGCTTTCCAATTGGCCAAATAGTGCCCTCTTGACCTCAGCCAAGCAGTGTGGCATTTAGGAGAGAGAGTCTGTTTGGGTGACCCTCGGCATCCTCTGGTATTCCAGTAATAGCTACATCTCAGGTTTTGAAACACTTAACCTCCTTGTGTTGGGTTTCTGAGTTTACTTTCCTGCTGTGTTATAGCAACTAAAGGGAGCGGAACATAACCTCAGGCTCTGAAGTTGCACTTGCATGGCGGAAGGTTGTGAGTAACCCAGGTGCTTAGGTTTGCAGTAACCAATTCATACTAAGTGTCAGAGCTTGGTACTTACTCCACACCTTGACTCCCAAAGCACCCTCATGCCTGTCATCTCATAATTTTGTGCTCATGTCATCCTTGTGATACACTGGGGATGGGGAGACCTGGGGAGGGGGAGGGGCATTGCCATGTCTCAGGTTCTCAGCATGTCAGTGGAAAGCCTGGCCATTATTTGGGGTCACCTGGCCTCCCCCTCCTGGTAACACCTGTGGGTTGCTGACCACTTTGGCTGAGGGAGGTCTGCACCATGGAGGAAGTGAGTGGCCACAGGTGGAAGTGGCTACGGAAGCCTGTGTGCCTGCCCCAGACTTGGCGGGGGGTTCTCTCTCCCACTGATGCCAGTGATGAGTCAGGTTGGACCACAAGGTAACTCGGATCACCGCATCACTGGCAGGTGCTGAGTTTCATTTCATTTTCTCCTCACGCATCACCTGTATGATGGTTTTCATGTGCACGTGTTTTCCAAACTAATTGTTTGGTTTCTTTTGTGTCTGTGACAAGGCCGCAGACGTTGTGAAGGCCCCAGCTCCCCTTGGCTTTGTTTTGGCCCCTTCTCCTGTAACCTGACGCACTGACAAAAAGATCGGTGTTTTGTTTTTTTGTGTGTGTTGGGGGCGAGGTGCGAGGGAAATCATCAAAAACACGAACATTTGGTATTTTCAAATAACCCTTCTCTCGGGCTGTTCTTTCCTGGCAGGATGACAGTGCCGATTTGAAATGCCAGCTTCAGTTTGCCAAAGAGGAAGGCTCCCTGATGCGCAAAAAGATGGCCAAGCTGGGCAAGGAGAAGGACGAGCTGGAGCAGGAGCTCCAGAAGTACAAGGCCCTGTATGGCGACGTGGACAGCCCCCTGCCCACCGGGGAAGCCGGTGGGCCACCCAGCACCAGGGAGGCGGAGCTGAAGCTGCGGCTGAAGTTGGTAGAGGAAGAAGCCAACATCTTGGGCCGGAAGATCGTGGAGCTGGAAGTGGAGAACCGAGGCCTCAAAGCGGAGATGGAGGACATGCGAGGCCAGTATGAGCGAGAGGGTCCCGGCCGGGACCACCTCCCGAGCATTCCTACCTCACCCTTCAGCGACTCCCTGGAGTCCTCCACGGAGCTCCGCCGACACCTGCAGTTTGTGGAGGAGGAAGCGGAGCTGCTTCGAAGGTCCATATCTGAGATCGAAGACCACAACCGGCAGCTAACGCATGAGCTGAGCAAGTTCAAGTTTGAACCGCGCCCAGAGCCTGGGTGGCTGGCGGATGGCGGAGGCAAGGGCATGAATGGCGGGGCTCCCCTGCAGGAGGAGCTGAAGTCCGCTCAGCTGCAGATCAGCGAGCTGAGCGGGAAGGTCCTGAAGCTGCAGTATGAGAACCGGGTGCTGCTGTCCAACGTCCAGCGCTACGACCTGGCCGCCCACCTGGGCCTGCGTGCCCCAAGCCCCCGGGACAGCGACGCCGACAGCGACACAGGCAAGAAGGAGAGCGATGGGGAGGAAGGCCGCCTGCCCCAGCCCAGGCGGGAGGGCCCCATTGGCGGGGAGAGTGACTCGGAAGAGGTGTTGGAGAAGACGTCGGGCTTCAGCAGCGGAAAGCCGTCGGAGGCCAGCGAGCTGTGTCCGGCAGAGGTCCTGAGGGCCAGGGAGGACTCCGAGTGCTTGGTGAGCATAAAGCATGAGGCTGAGCGGCTGGAACGGACCATGGAGAGCCTCATCACAGACACCAATGGCTTTGTGGACGACGTGGCCTCACCGGGGCCTGGTGTTCAGGGGGAGGGGGATGGGAAGGGGCCCCAACTGCTGGGGACCATCAATGCCAGGATGAAGACTTTCCGGAAGGAGCTCCAGACCTTCCTGGAGCAGGTGAACCGGCTCGGGGATGGTGTGAGGGAGCGCCTGGAAGGCCTGTCCCCCTTGCCCCACCTCACAGAGTCCTCCAGCTTCCTCTCCACCGTGACCTCCGTGTCCCGGGACTCCCCCATCGGGAACCTGGGGAAGGAGCTGGTCCCAGACTTGCAGGTAAGGGGGCTCCTGGCTCCGCCTCCCTGCTCGGTTTTGCTCTTCCTCCTCCTTGCTGGCCTTGCTGCACTTGAACTCATTCTGCTCACGGCTGCTTGGTTATGATTTCAAGCCTGCATTGTACTAAAGCCTCAAGTGTCAACCAAATCCTTTCTATTGGTTGGATTTCTTTTTGTTTAAGTTCTCTTTTATTTCCTTGTTTCTTTTTCCCTTTTCCTCTCTTATTTTTAACTGCGCCGTTGCTCTTGGCTCAGAGATCCTCCCTCATGACACCAGGCTAATCCCAATGGAAGCGATAGGGATCGAAGCAGTCTTTCTCTATTTTTGGTGTCTCAAACGACCAGCTATCCTGATGAAGAAGCTAAGAGGAGTTTAAGACAAAGTGCAAACTCATTTCACAGTCAGGATAAGTAGCAAACTCGCCCAGGAGCAAGTTTCATTGCCAAAGGGGACAGTTCTGAAAGGCCCTAGGCACCCAGGCCCACCCACTCCCACTGGAAGATGAGCCAGAGTGGGGAGAGGAGCGCAGCTCTGAGAGAAGGATGGTTGCGATGGAAAGTCTCGCTGCTGGCTTGCTCCCGCTGCCCTCCCTGAGCCGAGGGTGAGGGCCGAGTGGAGTAGCCGTCCCAGGACTGCTTTCCTATGCGTCGCCCTGGGGTGCATGGCCCAGCTGCCACCCTGGATTATGGCTTTGACTGCTCGACCACAGCGCGGAAGGAGGAGCCTTGCTTCCGTATCCTTCATGGGTAGCGTGCTTGCGGTTGCGTCTGTGATTCATGCATCCCCATTGCATGCGCCTCATAACCAGTGTTTTGCATTCTTCCCCCCTCTCTCTTTGCTTTCCAGATCTTTCAGCCCATCGTTTTGCTCATCCTCATTTTGGTTCTGTTCTCTTCACTCTCTTACGCCACTGTGTTTAAGTTGGTTTTTCTGTCCGTGCTTTTCTTCATCTGGTAGTGTTCTCAGTCGTCCGCCTTACCCATTTTTGTTTTCTTTATCTCCCTTCCCTACCCCACCCTCACCCTCTTGTCCTTTGTTTTTTATTTAAAATTTAAAAAACAACAACAACCAAATCCCTCCATGCACCTAACAGTCCAAACTGAGAGATCAGATGGAGTGGCAGCTGGGTCAGGAGCGAGGGGACGAGCGGGAGCACTCGCACCTCCGAGCCACGCGGGAGCTGCACCGCCGAGCCGACGGGGATGCCCGGAGCTGCAGGCCAGGAGGCCAGAGCTGTTTCAATCTAGAGGTCAGCAAGCTGGCTGGTCCCACCGGCCACCCCTCTCCCCTGCCCTCCCACCCTTCCTTTGCTGTGTGGTTGGCTGTCTGACATTTCCTGTGAGTCCAAGGCCCTTAGTGAACGCGGTAGGAGAAGATGGAATCAGGAGGACTTCACTAGGAGCCGACCCACTGCATGCAGCTGGAATTGGAGGGTCTACACAGGCTGAATGCAGGGAACTGCCAGCACCCCCTGTCAGGCAGGCATGGTCCCACCCGTACACCTTGTGTCCCCAGGGCCCGGGGGTGCCTGGAAATGTAGCAAGACGTAGGAGACTGATTTGTGAGCATTACCCAGCTTCTTGTCAAATGGGAAAGAAAACTGGGATAACACCAAGCACTGTTTTTGCTAGTCTGGAGAAAACCCCTCCCCTGTGCCTCACACGTCCCGTAGTTTCTGGTGACAGCGCTCTGGCCAGCAGCAGATTCAAGGAGTGCACTCCTGACCTGGACTCTTCAGCATGCTCTGTTGTCGCCACAGTAACGCCTTGTCAACAAAGTCCTGAGCCACCACAGATACTCCATTCTATGAAACAGTTGTCAGTGGTCCTGTCAGCAAAAGCTCCTCCGTGCAAGTAATTCCACCCAGCACCCAAAGACAGGTGTCGCTGAGGAGTGAGTCCCTGACTCTGATACTGCTGGTCAAGGCAGGTTATTGCAGGGTTAGAGCAACATAGTACACATTAGACAATATCTGGATAAAGAATCTTAGTTTATTATTCCCAGTGGGAGTGTTACCACTCAGCTCTGAGGCTTCTTAGTGGCTCCCAAAGGACAGAGTAGTGGTGGGCAGGTGGGAGGGAGCCTCACACCTGGAAGCAAACAGGAGCTCCCTCCACAAGAAGGTCAGGCATTTGACTAAGAAATGAAGAGGTACTCGGGGTGGAGCGCTCGGGCCTTTCGCTCAGCTTGCAGCTAATGCCTTGGTTAGGCTGTGAGTCCCACTGTTAGAGGTAGGCGGGTGGGGCAGCTGGCCCACCCAGACATGAGTTCAGATATCTCCAGTCTGTGAGAGAGTATGTCACATTTCTGCCCTCGTGGATAGAGTAACATGAAAACCTTCCCCAAAAAGCTTAAGTAAAACAAACACGGTTTTGGAAACAGCCTTTGTAGTCCACCACCTTACATTACTTTGGCAGAGGCCAGGCTCCCCCAAAGGTGGCATCCAGGTCTGTGCCCCCGGAGAGAAGTAGCTGTGGGCCGCACAGAGGCGTGACCAGGAGAATTCTGCATGCCAGTGGCCAAGCACACGGCAGCGCCAGCTCCCGGACGGCAAGCAGAAGCCCCGCTTGCCGTGTGGGTTTGCTGCGTGCGTCCCAGAGCAGCAACGCTGGTCCTCCCAGTCTGGAGCTCACAGTGCCCAGAATAAGCATTTGTGATTTTTTAAAGATGTTTTCTGAGCACGGGCTCTGGACATGGAATTGGACATGTATTACGGCAGAGAGCTTTAGTGTGTTCTCATTCCAAATTTGCAGGTAAGCTGTTCCTAGCTTTTATACCAAAAGTAAAACAGTATACTACATACGTAGGTTTTCCCCCAAATATGGATTTAGAGATTAGTGTGTCTTGTAACTCTATGGAACTTTCACAATGAAAACCCTTTGATCAACCCGGGCCCCATGCAAGGTCTTCATCTGGAATACTGGTTGCTTGCACACTAGCAGACTCACAATTCTGTACATTTCAAATGAATTGAATGATCCACCTCCAAGGTGGAAAGCTCAGGAAGACACGTGTCCCAGCTCTCAGTTCAACTGAGCACAATGATGTCTAGCAGGGCCGCCATGCTCTGCTGGAGTCAACCCTGGCATGGGCATCGGGCTCTGGGTCCTGGCCGCTCTGTGTCTATTACTAGCCCTGTTTCTCAGGCGAGTGTCAGCCTCTGTTTTCTCATCTGTAAAATGGCCCTGCCTGCTTCATGTAGCTATATGTGGATGATTCTCAGAGCCAATGAGCTATTACCTGAACAGGTACACCAAAAAGTGCTAAATGCCATCTAAGCACCAAGTGTGATTAATAATAAGGAAAGGGATTATGTCCCGCCATGGAAGACTATAGGCGGGAAGGGGTGTCACAGCTGCCCTGGTCATGGGACCAATTTTCTCTGCCCACTGTAGCCCTTTGTCACTTGTTACTGGCTGCTCCTGGGTCCTGCGCAGAAGCACAGCTCTGGCTGGACATGATACACTATTGGGGAGAAATGCAGCTCCCCTCCCATAGGCGCCATCAGTCAGGGCCTGTCACACAGCCCTGTTCAGTTAAACTCTGATCAAGTGTGCGATGATGCTAGGCCTCTGATGCGCCTTCCTGTCGCTTGCCACATACATACACGCACTGCATAGCTTCAAAAACCGGCAACAGTCTTAGAGAGAGAGAAATACTTTATTGGATAAAACTGAACGTTCTTGGAAGGCAAACCTCCAGAAGAGGGAGACTAGCCGAGTTAGTTGGTGCCATATGGCAAGTCCGGGTAGCCGAACAATGTAGCTCAGAAGGGAATGTCTGACTCCCTCATGATGAGAATGAGAAAAACGAGGCCCGAGTGGAGCATCCGGCCACTCAGCTCTCCAGGTGGACAGTGGTAGGACTGGGTCTAAAACAGTCTGCTCAGGCCTGGTCAGTCCTGTCCCCCCTGCTGCCCAGGACTACAGGGACTGGCAGCCCTGACCTCCCCCTTGCTCCCCGGGGCCCGGACACGCCAAGAGCTCCATTTCCTGGGAGATGTTTCTAAACACGTATCACTCAGGTGATTAACTGCATGGCCAGTGATGTGGCCAAGGTATGTTATTTCTTTTTAAACATCTGTCTGGTTTTCTTTAATTTTATATATTTTAACGAGAACATAAAAAAAAAGAAGAAAACTCATAGTGAAAGGCAGTGTCTCGGGAGCATCCCTAGAAGGGAAAATGGTATGAACCAAAGTTAAACATCCTTTGTTGGGACATTTTTATTCACTAAGGCATTTTGCACAGAAGAGAAAACCCAATTATGCATGCAAGCATATCATATTTGAAAATATCTTTTAAAGATAACACATATTTTAGGACCAGCTTGGTGGCTCCATAGTTTTTCCTTTTATTTTGAGGAGCCGAATGTCCACCCTTATGGAGTCTGGGTCTGGGATGCTCTGTCCCTCGGGTGGTGTCACCCTGACAGACAGCTTAGCTTGGTCCTTGAATATTACACTGGGTTAAAATGGCACAGCAGACAGTTCTAGAAAGAGCTCCTATAAGCCTTTTAATGAAAACATCCGGAACTCATTGCCTACAATGGCTTTCCTCTGAGGTCATGATGGAAGGGTACACAGGCCCCCACCAGGGCAGCTGACTGACTACTCCCGTTGAAGACACCCCAGGAACTGGGCGAAAGGCAAACACAAGGCTTTCCTCTAGAACGAGGCCAAGACTAAGGCTGCATGCACCCGCAGAAGTTTATTCCCTCTTACATCACCCTTGAAATTACCACTGATTATCTGCATAAGCCAACTGCTACCACATCTGAACTTCCTCCAGTCCTTCGCCTGTGTGCCTTGGGGAAGGGATGGGGCCTTAGAGGACACCTAGTATCAGTGGCTTAACAGAAGAAACACCTTTCTGACTTTCAGCTGAAGTTTTAAAAAAGGATCAATTTCTCAAGGTCCATTTGTGAAACACCTCCCATGATCTCCACCTTATAGATTTTCCTACTTAGGGAAAGGGGGAAAAGGTTAAGTTCTCACTTTGGAAAATTCACATGTTTTGGGCAGGTTAAATTATTACTCGTACTAATTGTACCAGTACTACCAGTAGCAGCAATAACAACAACAGGAGAAAAGTAAAAATCTATGTTCTTACACTGCAGCATTTTAGCAGATAACAAATCTGTGAAGATAGCCTGCTGCTCAGATGGCAAACATAACAAGTCCAGGAAGGGAACTGCTCAGATGGCAAACATAACAAGTCCAGGAAGGGAATGGCATATCCACGCCCTGCCCTCTGAAAACAGCCATGGGCAGAGAAAGCTGAACTCAGAATCTGTTAACACCCACTGACCCATTAATTCAACCACACAAAAAATTAACTGGTTAAAAAAAAAAAGATTCCAAATGAACAGTGTTCCTGTTGCCTGTTCGTCTCAGTAGATAGTAGCAAGATTCTCACACCAGGCGCCAGGTTCTTCCCTGACTTTGCCCCCTGTGAGAGATTTCCATTTGTTAAGAGAGAGCAATGTATAGAATATGTGGTTTGGAATGTGCAGGGTACCTTAAAAATAGTTCTCAATGAGGAGTAGCCAAGCACGGGCACTGGTCAGATTTCAGATATAAATGAAACCAAGCCTGTGCCCAGAGGATTGGGTTTCAGAAATCTCAAAGGGCTCTCTTTCCCCAGCTCCCCCTTTATCCTTTAATCAGCGAAGCGCACGGAGCATTTGTGATCACTTATGCCTCAGCTGTGTCCTACCAGGCAGGATAAAATGATGTGTGCTGGTTTTATGCCAAGCATGTGTACACACTTGTTGACCTCATATACTGCTATGGGAAGAAGCAGTAACAAAACTGGCCAAAACAAAATGGAACTCACCTGCAGGTCCAGGGGTCCCCAAAGGTGTGGACGGAGTCGGCGAAGAAGGAATGACACGGAGACAGCGTTCAGTTTATCAGCAGCCTTGCCAGGATCTCTAGCCACAATCTCCAGCCAAGTTCTGTGTCCATGTTCTCTTGCTAGGTTCTCCAGCCAGTTTCTCCAGGTTCTCCAGCCAGGTTCTGTAGCCATGTTCTCTC